GATGAAGGGCAAATCATCTGCCAGGTTCCACTAGTAATTTAAATATAATTGATAATAATTGCTGAAATCTCAAAATCCGAAATCAATGTCTTTTTCTGATTTTTTTCTTAAGACATTTTAGCTACAGTATAAACCTTAATTCAAACTTTTAGGGGGAAGAAAAAAGAAAAATAAAGTGAAAAGAAACTTCTTTACAGAATGACATGTTTTTTCAGGACTATCAAAGCAAACACTTGCAAACAAATTGCACAATTTTGTAATTGTGCCAACTGAACCTTACCTCCATTTCCACACTCTGTCGAATAAGTACAATGTTGAAAACATCAAGTTTTTTCTCACATTCTGCAATGTCCTGGGTAACTTGTAGAGGTAATTTACGTGACTGGAGTTTTGTACGATATGCTTGTGCATAGCGACGACATAAACTACGATGGGCAAGCATGTGCTTCCAATTCCAATTATCTCTGCGACGTCTTATTTCACTCTCAAGAACACATTTGTAAGCAAACTTCCACCTGGAATGAAGTTAAAAAAATAAGAATGAAAATGTCATTAGGAAACACAATATTCAAAGTAATGCCTTTTTTTCTTCTTCTCTCTAAAGAAAACCAACATGCAAAAACAATAGTTTACAGAAAAAAATAAAAGAATTTCACCTACAAAAAGATTACAATTCATGTGAATTTTTTAAATAATTCAAAAATGTCTTTTACAACAAGCAAATATACAATTTCAAAAACAAATATAGTAGTATATTGACAAATAACCTTCCTCTACTTCCCCAACTTGAATTCGTACAAAAACAAAAAGCATTCATGAGAAATAACATTGAGAGAAAAGCAATATAATCTTTGAACTGAGAAAATTAATTCATAGTGTAAATACGAACATTTTATTTTACAATTCTTTCTGTTTATTAATTATTAATACATTAAGAAAGAAAATAAAAAGAATAAAGCAATTATCAACAAAATACATTTTGCTGTTAATTTCTATACTTATACCCAAGCTCTCTAATAATTACTGAGAAATGAACTCAATTACACTCTCCTTAAATTTTCTTAGGATAGAATAACCTTTTCCTGAGATTACAATCATTTGCATGACTAAAGTCTTTACAATCATGAATAGAGACACGCATAGAGGATTGCATGATCTTTGTATTTACAAAGTACAGTAACTTTCCACACACATTTAATTTCATTTTTTCAAACAAACTATCAGCACTAAGATCAAAATTAAAAACCTATTTTCAAAATCATAGAATACAAAATATTTTATGCATGCCCAGCTCACCTAATAAATATGTTTTTTAAATACATTAATTATATATATTTAACTTTTTAAAAATCTATATCTACCTCTAACATTACATTAACACGTTTCTAAAAGCTCACTAAGTACGCTTTAGCATTTAAGTGACACATACACATTTATGAGTCCCCAAAAGCATTTTATTTTCATCAATATGTCAAGAATCACTTCCATGTCACTTTAAATGTATGTGAAAGGACAGTGCAGCAAAACTTTCCTAAAATTTGGTCCTCTTATACATCCTTCCCTAGAGTTAAAAAAAAGAGATTTTTCTATTAAAATAAACGTGTATAAGTAGTAGCACTTTAAAATGTTGAAATATCATTCTGCCCTTCATAAATAGGATAGGTGTAACGTGTAGTGTGTGTTTAAAGTCTGCAATTACACGGATGAGAACAAACTCCCTAATCTCCTCTAAATATTTAGTCTGCATGAGCCACATCCTTATCTGGTGGATCTGAAACATGTGCTTGCTGTATGCACAGCTGTTATGTGTTCAAATTAATTTAACATCATTATCATGAACTGCAGGATGAAAGGCCAGGGAAGGCCTGTTTCTGGTTAAGAAGTAGACCTAAAATACTTCAGTCTTCCAGGTTCCACCATGAACCACTTCTTTCTTGGTCATCCTATATCTCTCTGTCCAAGTGGCTTATATTTTAGGGTAGCCTTTGTGAAACTTCATTCTTTAAATATGTTCCAGCCATTTTTCTGGTTCTTTTTAACTTTCTATTATGTTTGTTTTCTTCAATTTTTTCCTTATGTCTTTATTTTTCTGTTGATCCAGTGTAGTATAGCCAAGGAGGTGTTTTAGGAACCTCATTTGAGCTACTTTCAGTTTTTGATTGTCTCTTTGTTTCAGGATCCAGGTTTCTGATCAATATATTAGCATTGGTTTGACTGTTATGATGTGTATTCTAAATTTGATTTCTTGTGTCATGTCGTTCCCAAAGGGTCTTTTAAATGTTCCATTTATTTTATTTCAAAATATTGTGTTGGAGGTCCTGGGAGTTAAGACCAATGCCATTGCCTAAATACTTGAATGTCGGTACTTGCTCTATTATTTCCCCTTCAATAATTATCTTCACTCCTCTTAGTTCCTTTCCTTGGAATACCATTGTTTTTGTTGAGATATTCATGCCATATTTCTTTGCTAATTTATTAAGTACGTGTTCCTATTTGGAGTTCATCTTCTGATTCAGCCAAAAATTATTTGGCCATTTGCAAACAGGACTGTTTGTATAGTTTGTTTTTGTTGAGTTCTATTCCTTAATTTACTGACGTCATCCATGCTTTGATGAGACTGTTGGCATACATTTTGTAAAGGTTAGGTGATAGGCCACATCTTTGTCTCAGTCTGTGTGAAGTGATTTTGTGATTTTCCTATTATTTATTTTTATGAAGATTTTTGGGTCCGTGTAGTTCGTTTTTATCCCATTCACGATTTCTTCTGGTTTCCTACTTCTAGTTCTTCTTATTATCATCATCATCGTCATAATAATAATAATAATAATAATAATAATAATAATAATAATAATAATAATAAT